TGTTCCTATTTCAATTGTGGAATTTTGGATGCACTTAAAAAGTTAGAAAATGTAGCATTTGCAACTAAAAACATACATTGAGCAGAATTAATTCAAACTAGAGGAGGTATGCATGGCAAACAGTTAGCTTCTATCTTCAGTCGGTTCAGGTAAAAGTTGAAAATCAAAGGTAAAAGCTGACTGGTTGCTGCTCCAGTCATGATAAATTCTCCTCATTGTGCTTTATTCAACAGAAGGTCTACTAAGTGGTATGGCCTTCATTACAGGTGATATATAACAATAGGCAGTTAGTAAATCTGTCTATTTTTTTGCTGTGACAATTTTGAAATACAAATGCAAATAGTATTATTCATGTTGAGGATAAATAATTTCACGTCCTGATTGTACACATGGAACTGGTGTGTTTTGGATAGGTAAAAAACAGTTCTATTCAAATCCCTAAGCAAAAATGTAAAATATATTAAAACAAAACTATCTAAAAAATTGACTTGTCATTTACTCAACCCTCCTACACATTGACAAGGGTAGCTCAAAACTCAGAGGGCCATTAATCAACCTATGTGTAATATAAACATACCTAAAAATCAATAACTGCAGTGCAAGACAGTTTGATGGAAAACCCTTCAAAGACTCTTTAGCTCAAAACAAGATCTGATCTTAGATATTTGTCCATTTGCATGTTGGTGCATTCAATAAAACTTGTTTCTATTTGCTCTCTTCAGTCAAATCCACTGGCACATGACCAGCTCTAATCTTTCATTGTAAGACTTGGCAGAAGCCATGATTATTATATCACGTCATGATATGACCAACACAACTGTCTCTTGGAGTTGTGTGAGCCATGTAAACCTAGTTCACTGGCTCCAGGGTCACTAATACAGCTTGTGTCTAATGACCAAACAAAGCCACAGAAATAGTAAGGCAGACACTGTACTAATGACCTCCGATTTCATTGTTTTTTGCTTTAGCAGTTTTGCAGGGTGTCTAAATGCTTCTGAATTCCAGTAGGCAGCAACATTAAACCCAGTGCTCCCAGTAAAAAGCTCTCAGTAAAGTAGCCCATAGATTATACAATTTTATTTCCTTCCACCACAGGTCGACTTTGACATTGACTGCAGTATAATCAGCTTGCCCATAGATAGATCGAATCTCGGCTGGTCCTTTCTGAACCATTGGAGATTTGATCCATCTATGGCTGGCTTACCAGAGCTGGTCTGGTATATCCCTTACTTTTCTCTGCAATACTATACAATACAATACAAGAAAATGGTATAAGAATTCAGCTTGACATTAAATAAGTCAGAAATTGGATAAGTCAAAAATAGGGGACTATTGCTGTACTGTGTCCTGAAATGTACCATATTGTAAACAAAAAATGTTTTCTGTAAGCTTCTACACGGCATATCTCTCACTCTGTCATCAATCACAAGATCTAACTAAAGAGCTTCTAACTCATTTTCATAGTCCAGTCTGTTCCTTTACTTTCCCTCATTCTTTCTAGTGTCAGCTCTGTACAGTGTGAAATTAGGATGGGAGGTGTTATGGCAGAATGATGTTGCAGTGTTTGACATGGTAAAACATTGACAGTATTCTTGTCAGCCTTGCTTCAGTCTGGCTTTTCTTCTCCTCCTCATGCATGCTGACCCGGAAATCTTCCTTTGCCTTAGCTGCGATAGTCGTGACTCAGCTTACAACACCATACATTCGCATCGCCCCTGCTGCAGGCGACGACCAACTAACAGGTCAGACATTCAAATACACACAACTCATCATGCATTTCCTTCTGCCTCCTGCCATCAACATTTTTTTCATCTACTAATTTTTATTCTTACATTTGTTTATTTGCTTTGTTCTTTTTTTTTGTTTAAGCTTTGCACGTGCTCATGCACTTTACAGATGCTTGTTCATTCCATTTATGTTTGCCATGAATATCAATATTTTCACTGCATGCAGTCATTATGTGTGTACTTATTCTGTGCGTTGTTTTTCAGCTTCTGAAACTGTTATATTGAGGCATTTATAATAATGTGTTAAGAATTTAAAAGACCGGTTTGAAAAAAAAGACTCACCTGGGTGGATGAAGCATCGGTCTGATGCTGCACCTGTCCCATGCTGCTTCTAAGACCAAGAACTGAGCTACTGATTGCTCAGTTCTTGGTCTGCACTGAACAGAGAGCAAGTGACTGTCAGTCACCACTCACCACTCTATTCTTCCCCTCTAGAGCTCACTGGAGTACCAGACTGTGGAGGGGGTTGGAGTGGCTGGCTCTGGCTCTCTTCGGCATGCCAGCTGCAGGAATCTTTCAGGATCTTCCAGAGCCGGGACCAGCTGAGTTATGTCAGTTGATAGTGGGCTTTAGACCTTTATCTGCTGAAAACAGGTCACAGGAGTGCAGAATTAAATGCGCTCTTGTGATACACCAAAAGAGCTTTGGCCCTACTTCTTTAAGTCATGGCCCTCATTATTATACCACGTTATATTTTCAGGGCATCTTTAAGCTAGCCTCCTTGATCAACCATTCCTTTATTTGACCTAAGCCCTGCAGCAGCCTTAATGGAGCTTTAAAAAGATATATCCAGTAAAATCAGGAGGTTCCTAGTAGATTAGTTGGTTCAAAGAGGGTTTAGTTAGTTACAGTAAACTTGAACTGAAAGATGTCTTGTAGAAAAAACAGTCACATGTCTATTCCCTAACTACATATTTCAGCTCATTTTATTTTGTGTGGCATGTCCATTTATTTGGAAGGAATTAACAGCTGTTAAGTACTTTTGGATTAAAACATAGTCTTCAATATGCTTTTTGTCACTTCTGCCCTCCTGTCCATGTTTAAAATACTTTCTAGTCTGACAGATTACAAAATGTAATTCCCTGTACTAATATACTCTGCCTTAACCACTTACCCTCCAGAAGATTTATCCCCCTTCTTGACCAGGCCAGGCCATTTTTTGCTATTCAGCACTGCGCTACTTTAACTGACAATTCTGCGGTCATGCAACACTGTTACCAAATTAAATTTATAGCATTTTTTCACATAAATAGAGCTTTCATTGGTGGTATTTGATCATCACTGGGTTTTTTTATTTTTTATTATATAAACAAAAAAAGACCAAAGCTTTTGAGTGTGTCTATAGCCCTCAGTTGCTTTTTTAGTTTTAGACAGAATAATGAATGGTTAGAATATTATTCTGGTTTTTTTTTTTGCTGTCTATATTTCATTGAGGATAATAATCTTCACTTCCTGTCCCACAAAAGGAAATGAATTGAAGATATTCCTAAACTGAAATCTATTATACAGTTATCACTGGCACAGATGTCTCCTTTGGAAACATTTCCCTCCTTCTACTCTGGGGACAACTATAAATTATGGAAATTCCCATCACTTCCTTGCCAGTGATAATGGTCACAAAGGCAAATAGGGCAAATCTGCCCAGCGGTGACACACACAGCAGCAAAAATCTAACAGAGCTTCTGGCCCTTCCATTCTCTATACAAAATTTGCTAATTCCTACATAATCTTTCTCAGTTAGCTAATATTGTAAAAATGTAGTCAATACATTTTCCAGTTGTAACAATGGATCAAGAAAGTACTGTAAATGTTTTTTATGTTTTACACACCTGATATTCAGTCACAAAACTTTTCAATGAAGATTATTTTAATTTAAACACATGTTTATAGTACAGCATGGTAATAATTCTTAACTTAATACTCAGAATATTATATATTGCCTTAAAAAAGAGGAAACCGCAAATATGAAAAAACTTAAAAAACATTATTTTTGTGCACACATTTAGTAAATAAGTAAAATAAAATGTAAACAGACAAGAAAAGTAAGAAAAACTATAGAAACAGACCTTGTAAAGCGTGTGGCATTATCACAATAAAATATCATATAGCTTACAGAAACATTTTATTTACATTTCTCAGTACTGATTACAGTCTACTCCATTAGCACATAAAAGAAGTCAGTTTAAGTGCATAAAAAGATACATAAGTAAAGAAGCATTAAGCTGGGCAACTATTAAATAGCATTGATTGTATTTACGTTGCATGTATTCTACAGGTGAAAGAGTGCTGGAAGTGAATTTAGCTATTATAAATGTGACCTTCATAGCACTTACAATGTACTAATCATAATGGCTTTTGAGGTTGATGTCTGATTCAAACCATTACTTGTGTTTTGTATCTGTGCTATAACACTGTATATTTAAAAATAATTATGTTTTATCCCATAACTATAGATAAGTAAGAAAAGGACACATTAACAAGTAGCACTAGATATAAAAGTGCTTTAACTTCACCATTAACTGTATATTCACAAACTATATAATATTAAAGTGGCTGTAGACCATTACATATACCCAGTGAAGTGACTGGCCTCAGGAGATACACAGAGATGAAACAAATCCACCTACATCAGTTATACCTTTCTATCTGCAGTCTTCTCTACATCTATTCAAAGACCAGAATTTATGAAGCTTGTCTGAGCTTTCAGAAAGCAGGGGGAAGAGCTGAAATTACACACTGCAGAGCTCAGGGAGGAGAGCACTGAGAGCTTATTGGAGGGAAGGAACTCCCCCCCCCCCCCACACACACACACACACCATTCATACAACCCACAGAAACAGAGCTGAGGCTGTCAGTCACAGACTGTATGCTGGAGGTCCCTCCCCTGTTTCTTTTTTTTCTCTTTGTGTCTAGAAAACTTGTCAGAAGTGACTGCAGATAGCAGAAGAAGGAAGCAACAGACAGAAAGGACACCTAGTGCTCTCAGTTGAGACAAGTACACACTATAGAGGGATATGCTTTGTTCATATTTCATGTCTGAGGTTTACAACCACTTTACCTATAACAAACATTTAAAGTGTGGGGAATAATTTTAGATATGGAAACAGAAAAGCTGATATACACTATATTGCCAAAAGTATTGACACCACTCCAAATCATTCGATTCAGGTCTTCCAATCACCTCCATGGCCACAAGTGTATAAAATCAAGCACCTAGACATGCAGACTGCTTTTACAAACATTTGGGAAAGAATGGGTCGCTCTCAGGAGCTCAGTGAATTCCAGCATGGTACCATGATAGGTTGCCACCTTGTAATAAGTCCATCTGTGATATTTCTTTGCACTAAATATTCCATGGTCAACTGTCAGTTCCATTATAACAAAGTGGAACAACAGCAAGTGGTAGGCCACGTAAAATGACAGAGCGGGGTTAGCGCATGCTGAAGCTCACAGTGTGCAAAGTCGCTAAGTGCCTGCAGCGTCAATATCTAAAGACCTCCAAACTTTGTGTGGCCTTCAGATTAGCACAACAACAGTGCATAGAGAGATTCATTGAATAAGTTTCCATGGCTGAGCAGCTGCATCTAGACATGTTCTCTGGAGTGACGAATCATGCTTCTTTGTCTCGCAATCCAATGGAAGTGTCTGGGTTTGGTGGTTGCCAGGAGAACGGTACTTGCCTGACTGCATTGTGTCAAGTGTAACGTTTAGTGGAGGGGGTGATTAAGTGTGCAGTTGTTTTTCAGGGGTTGGGCTTGGCCCCTTAGTTCTAGTGAAGGGAACTCTTAAGGTGTCAGCATACCAAGACATTTTGGAAAATTTCTTGCTCCCAACTTGTGAGAACAGTTTGGGGATGGCCCCTTCCTGTTCCAACATAGCTGCACACCAGTGCACAAACCAAGGTCCATAAAGACATGGATGAGCGAGTTTGTGGTGGAGGAACTTGACTGGCCTGAGTCTTGAACTCAACCCAATAGAACACCTTTAGGCTGAATTAGAGTAGAGACTGTGAGGCAGGCCTTCTCGCTCGACATCAGTTCCTGACCTCATGAATGGAAGAATGGTCAAACATTCCCATAAACAAACACCTAAACCTTGTGGACAGCCTTCCCAGAAGAGTTGAAGCTGTTATAGATGCAAATGGTGGGCCAACTCAATATTGAACCCTATAGACTAAGACTGGAATGCCATTAAAGTTCATGTGTGTGTAAAGGGAGGTGTCCCAATACTTTTGGCAATATAGTGTATTTGCTTTCTTTAGGCTAGGCATAAACATTGTCTAATATTCATCAGTCAGCTGAGTTAATTATCCATTGTGACAGTTAAAGAGCGAATTACTAAATCCTAAGTGATAATATTTGGCTCTGAGTTCCATAAGTGCTTTTTTTCTTACATACAGGTCAAACAATGCATTTTTGATGGAAAAATGGGAAGTAAATATTATTTGTTATTCCCTTTTCTTTACAGAATAAGGATTCCTTTACCTTACAGTTCTGACCAATCATTTACTTAGTATTAGGGAATAGATATAAGAGGGCGGTCAGATGTGTAAGCATGGACTAATGCCTCATCTGGCCTTTCCATAAGCACAAATAATCAGCTCAGCCAAACATTTGTGTTATGCTGTGCAGAGAGAAGGGTGTAGAAGGACCCAAGACCAGCTGGCCAGAGAGCATCTGCTTGCCCCATTGGCATGAGATCACCTGATCTGGAAAATATCTGTAATGTTGTTTCTGTGGGTACTATTAGTCATACTCATGCATTTCTGGCTGTGGCCACCTTCAGTATGGGCAGATGATTCATGTAGCATTTACGACCTGGAATCCATCTGCCTTTAGCTTAGACATGCAGATGGGAGGGTGTGCTTGAATGTGAAAACCCCTCCTCCACACCTGAAGACTCTAGGCCTAGAAACCAGGAAGTAACTGAAGTAAAAAAAAAAAAAGTTTAAAACAAGTAAATAAGATATACTTTCCTATGTATTTACTAATGCTAGCAGCATAAGGATTAAAAATAGTCCATGTTGATTAAGAGAGTGAAGTTCAGCTGTAGGTTCCTTGATCCTTTTCTTACCAGTCAATATATGTCACATTTCATATACCAATTTGTTTTTTCCTGCATGTTTTATTTAGATTGCTTGCCATCCATTTATTTTTTTAATTAAGGCAAAGGTTTAAGAAGTTAACTCCAGAATTTGTGACTGTATCAGTAACAGAGGACTTTTGTTTACTATGAGTTTGATACCCTACATTTGGAATAGATATTTTTTCAGTTAAACGTAACCTGTTTAAGGCATTTCATCTGAAACACTTCTATAAAAATGTCAAGCTAGCAAGGAACATACTTGCAATATGTACACATTATAAAGTCAGGTGTAGCTACATATTACACATTGCAAATCTTGTCATTGTGGTACAACTTTCAATAATTCAAATAAATTTGTAAACATTTTATAAATGTTAGGAGTAATTGTAAAGAGAAGGAAGTATTACATTGACAATGTAGAGTTAATGGCCTTTTCCATTGGGAGGCACTATTATTTCTTATATGGCCTCTAAATGATTTCAGTATTATTAACCAAGCCATTTGTATGTATGCTGTATAGTTTCAAATTGTATTTTTAGTATCTTTATAGTTGATATCTTTTTATCATTATAGTTTTAAATGGCTTTTTAAAGCTAGAAATAAAGAAAGTTTGGCTGTGAAGCAAATTTTACCTAGTATTCAGAAAATGAATTGTTTCAAACTTGCATATTATCTGCCGCCTACAGACAACGTTTTGGACAGTGACAAATCATTTGTGGATGGTTCAGTGTATTGTACCTTTTTGTAATAAATCATGATATGGAGACATATTTAGAATGACTGACTAACACATATCCCCTGTTTTAAAAAAATAATAAATAAAAACACTTATTTTCAATTCCACTAAGCTCAGCAACAGTATAGTAGCTATCTGATATTGTCAAGAATACCATTTATATGTTTTCTTAAATTAAAACTAAATACAATACATGTATGTAAGCTTATACAGACTTGGGAAAGATAATGATGGAGGTAACACTGTTTTTCTAAATCTAAACTGGGACATCTTTAGCCTTTGACCAGTGTCTGCTGAATTGCAACCCCAATACACCAAGCTGTGGTTGCTTTTTATCTTAAACTGGTATCAAACCAAAAACCAAAAATGCCATATATGGCAGCTTACCAGTCATTCGATGTGGTGGCCGCATTAAGTTTCTTTTTTTAGGCTTTTTTCCACTCTGTTTTCACCTGGTGATCTGCCCAGTAACACCTCCTGCATTAGAGTGCTCCTACTTTGGATGAAGGAGCACAGGGAGCACAGCTGACATCAGCGTTGTCAGTCTGTGGGGAGGGGAGTGTTAAATGCACAGATTTAGATAAACTAACAAATTGAAGCCAAACTCCAGCTCACACTTTATAAGCACTTACAGCAAACATATTTTCCTTTTTGGATAAAGATTGTACATGAATAATTAAAAGCTGATAACTTTAAGCACACCTGTCAGTGTGTTAAATGTTTTGTCTCTTCCCTGCAAACTGATACAATCTGCAAAAGAGCTTGTTCTTTTGAAAAAACAAAACAGACATACTCGATGGACCACCAGGTGAAAATAAAAGAACGCAAGTCTAAAAACAATGCAGCCATCACATCTACGAATTGGGAAGGTGCAATATAATAAATGTTTGCTTTTGGGTTTAACACTGCTGTAAGGGTAGAAACTGAATATTTCAAATAAGTTGAAAGATTAGACATTTAGTGGTATACCCATTTCTTTGATCCATAGCAGATAATAGACTATTTGTAGTAGTATTCTGGAATTGTGGAGCAGCAACTAATGTTAGCTGTTGGAGCCACAGTGTACCAGTGGTCATGTGATCAGTGATGTGCCTAAAGCTGGCCAGAGGTGTTCTGGAGAGGAGATTCCCCCATCAACACATTTGATGTGGATGGAGGAATCCTCCCAGCTGCCCTATTGTATTCTGACAGCGGGCTCCTCCGCTGCTAGAATACACCAATCAGCACTGCTGGTTGGCTGCATGGGCTAATCAAATAAAAATTTTACAACAGTCTTGTTTGAGAGGAGTTAATCAGTAGGTCAACTTTTCTCAAGCAGGATCAGCCATAGATAGATCAAAAGTTGGCTGGTCCCTTCTGAACCAGACAAATTTCGATCCATCTATGGCCAGCTTTAGAGAAATGAGGTCTGAAGAAGGAGCCTACTGAGCATTCCCACGAAAAACATTACCGCCCCCTTCACCTCCTACATCCGACTCTGGTCTCCAAGCCTCATCTTGATACACAGACACATCCTAGTTCATACTTCCTGATCCTATGGACTGAGCTGCTGCTGGACGGCTGTCTCACCTGGATCTTAATACACCACATGATGAGCCCTTTTAACTATTTATCTTGTAAGTGCAATTTATCTAATGTTCATTACTAAATTATCTATACTGCACTTAGAGGCGCCTTCCTCTCTTTTTCACACCTTTCATTTAGCTCCTCTCCAACACTACTCATAGCACCCTGTTTTTTGTTTGTGTTTTTAGGCTTCCTTTCCTTTATTTTTATCTAGTGATCTGTCCAGTAAGTCTGTTGTTACAAGCTCACCTGCATATTAGTTTATACCCATATTAGTTATGAGTAATAACACAAACTATCACTGACAGGGGTACTTACAATAGTCAGCTTTTATATATATACAGTCATGGCCGAAATTGTTGGCACCCTTGATATTTCTCCAGGAAATCATGTATTTCTCACGAAACGTATTGCATTAACACATGTTTTGCTATACACATGTTTATTCCCTTTGTGTGTATTGGGACAAAACAAAAAAAAAGGGAGGAAAGAAAGCAAATTCGACATAATGTCACACAAACCTCCAAAAATGGGCTGGACAAAAGTATTGGCACCCTTTCACAACTGCGGATAAATAAGAATGTTACAAGCATGTGATGCTCCTGTAAACTCACCTGGGGCAAGTAACAGGTGTGGGCAATATAGAAATCACACCTGAAAGCAGATAAAAAAGGAGAGACGTTCACTTAACCTTTGCATTGTGTGTCTGTCTGTGCCACACTAAGCATGGACAACAGAAAGAGGAGACGAGAACTGTCTGAGGACCTGAGAACCAAAATTGTGGCAAAATATCAACAATCTCAAGGTTACAAGTCCATCTCCAGAGAACTAGATTTGCCTTTGTCCACAGTGCGCAACATTATCAAGAAGTTTGCAACCCATGGCACTGTAGCTAATCTCCCTGGTCGTGGACGGATGAGGAAAATTGATGAAAGATTGCAACGCAGAATAGTCCGGATGGTGGATAAGCAGCCCCAAACATGTTCCAAAGACATTCAAGCTGTCCTGCAGGCTCAGGGAGCATCAGTGTCAGCGCGAACTATCCGTCGACATTTAAATGAAATGAAACGCTATGGCAGGAGACCCAGGAGGACCCCACTGCTGACACAGAGACATAAAAAAGCAAGACTACAGTTTGCCAAAATGTACTTGAGTAAGCCAAAAGCCTTCTGGGAAAACGTCTTGTGGACAGATGAGACCAAGATAGAGCTTTTCGGTAAAGCACATCATTCTACTGTTTACCGAAAACGGAATGAGGCCTACAAAGAACAAAACACAGTACCTACGGTAAAATATGGTGGAGGTTCAATGATGTTT